CCATGTATACATCCCCCTTCTTGGAGACACGCACACGTCTTACTAAAGACACACACAGCCCCCTTACTGGAGACACACACACACCATGTATACAGACCCCTTCATGGAGACACACACACACACCATGTATACAGACCCCTTACTGGAAACACACACACATATGCACACCATGTATACAGACCCCTTCCTGAAGACACACACACACCATGTATACAGACCCCTTACTGGAGACACACACACACACCATGTATACAGACCCCTTCCTGGAGACACACACACACCATGTATACAGACCCCTTCCTGGAGACACATACACCATGTATACAGACCCCTTACTGGAGACACACAGCATATGAACTGCCCCCTTACTGGAGACACACACGCAACATATAAACAGCCCTCTTACTGGAGACACACACACACACACCATGTATACAGACCCCTTACTGGAGACACATACACACACCATGTATACAGACCCCTTCCTGGAGACACGCACACACCATGTATGCAGACCCCTTTCTGGAGACACACACACCATGTATACAGACCCCTTCCTGGAGACACACATACACCATGTATACAGCCCCCTTACTGGAGACACACATACACCATGTATACAGACCCCTTCCTGGAGACACACACACACCATATATACAGACCCCTTCCTGGAGATATACACCACGTATACAGCGCCCTTACTGGAGACACGCACACGTCTTACTGAAGACGCTCACAGCCCCCTTACTGTAGACACACACACAGAAAATAAACTGCCCCCTTACTGGAGACACACACACCATGTATACAGACCCCTTACTGGAGACACACACGCAGCATATAAACAGCCCTCTTACTGGAGACACACACACACACACACACACACACACACACACACACACACACACACACACACACACACACACACACACACACACACACACACACACACACACACCATGTATACAGCCCCCTTCCTGGAGACACACACACCATGTATACAGAACCCTTACTGGAGACACATACACCATGTATACAGACCCCTTCATGGAGACACACACACACACACCATGTATACAGCCCCCTTACTGGAGACACACACACCATGTATACAGACCCCCTCCTGGAGACACACACACCATGTATAGAGACCCCTTCCTTGAGACACACATACACCATGTATACAGCCCCCTTACTGGAGACACATACACCATGTATACAGACCCCTTCCTGGAGACACACACACCATGTATACAGACCCCCTCCTGGAGACACACACACCATGTATACAGACCCCGTCCTCGAGACACACATACACCATGTATACAGACCCCTTCCTTGAGACACATACACCATGTATACAGACCCCTTCCTGAAGACACACATACACCATGTATACAGACCCCTCCCTGGAGACACACACACACCATGTATACAGACCCCTTACTGGACACACACACACCATGTATACAGACCCCTTCCTGGAGACACATACACCATGTATACAGACCCCTTACTGGAGACACACACCAAGTATACAGACCCCTTCCTGGAGACACGCACACGTCTTACTAAAGACACACACAGCCCCCTTACTGGAGACACACACACCATGTATACAGACCCCTTCCTGGAGACACACACACACACACACCATGTATACAGACCCCTTCCTGGAGACACACACACACACATTATGTATGCAGACCCCTTCCTGGAGACACACACCATGTATGCAGACCCCTTCCTCGAGACACACACCATGTATACAGACCCCTTCCTGGAGACACACCCACAAACCATGTATACAGCCCCCTTCCTGCAGACACACATACACCATGTATACAGACCCCTTCCTCGAGACACACATACACCATGTATACAGACCCCTTCCTGGAGACACACCCAACACCATGTATACAGCCCCCTTACTGGAGACACACACACACACCATGTATACAGCCCCCTTCCTGCAGACACACATACACCATGTATACAGACTCCTTCCTGGAGACACACATACACCACGTATACAGCCCCCTTACTGGAGACACACACACAGCATATAAACAGCCCCCTTACTGGAGACACAAACACAGCATATAAACTGCCCCCTTACTGGAGACACACACACCATGTATACAGCCCCCTTACTGGAGACACACACACCATGTATACAGACCCCTTCCTGGAGACACACACACACCATGTATACAGACCCCTTCCTGGAGACACACACATATATGCACACCATGTATACAGACCCCTTTCTGGAGACACACACACCATGTATACGGACCAATTCCTGGAGACACACACACACACCATGTATACAGACCCCTTCCTGGAGACACACACACCATGTATACAGCCCCCTTACCGGAGACACACAGCATATGAACTGCCCCCTTACTTTAGACACACACACCATGTATACAGACCCCTTCCTGGAGACACACACACCATGTATACAGACTCCTTCCTGGAGACACACACACACCATGTATACAGACCCCTTACTGGAGACACAAAGAATATGAACTGCCCCCTTACTGAAGACACACACGCAACATATAAACAGCCCTCTTACTGGAGACACACACACACACACCATGTATACAGACCCCTTACTGGAGACACATACACACACCATGTATACAGACCCCTTCCTGGAGACACGCACACACCATGTATGCAGACCCCTTTCTGGAGACACACACACCATGTATACAGACCCCTTCCTGGAGACACACATACACCATGTATACAGCCCCCTTACTGGAGACACACATACACCATGTATACAGACCCCTTCCTGGAGACACACACACACCATGTACACAGACCCCTTCCTGGAGATATACACCACGTATACAGTGCCCTTACTGGAGACACGCACACGTCTTACTGAAGACGCTCACAGCCCCCTTAGTGGAGACACACACACAGAAAATAAACTGCCCCCTTACTGGAGACACACACACCATGTATACAGACCCCTTACTGGAGACACACAGCATATAAACTGCCCCCTTACTTGAGACACACACGCAGCATATAAACAGCCCTCTTACTGGAGACACACACACACACACACACACACACACACACACACCATGTATACAGACCCCTTACTGGAGACACATACACACACCATGTATACAGACCCCTTCCTGGAGACACACACACACACACCATGTATGCAGACCCCTTTCTGGAGACACACACACCATGTATACAGACCCCTTCCTGGAGACACACATACACCATGTATACAGCCCCCTTACTGGAGACACACACACACAGCATATAAACAGCCCCCTTACTGGACACACACACACACACACACACACACACACACACACACCATGTATACAGACAGTTTCCTGCAGACACACACACCATGTATACAGACCCCTTGAGACAATACCTTTGGTAGGAGGCGACTAACAGGATCGGGTGGTCGGGCTCGCTGACTTGGTTTGATGCATGTCATCGATCCCAATTGCGTGGATCATTGCTCATGATATTAAACACTGGATTGTCTGGACCAGACTTGATTATTTACCGACCGTCATCATATAGCTGGAATATTGCTGAGTGTGGCATTTACCAACAAACCAACCAACCAACCTTACTGGAGACACTGACACACACACACACACGGACGCACGCACGCACACACACATGGCCTGCAGGAATGACTCGAGCATCACACACACGGCCTGCAGGCATGACTCGAGCATCACACACAGGGCCTGCTGGCATGACTCGAGCATCACACACACAGCCTGCAGGCATGACTCGAGCATCACACACACGGCCTGCAGGAATGACTCGAGCATCACACATACGGCCTGCAGGCATGACTCGAGCATCACACACACAGCCTGCTGGCATGACTCGAGCATCACACACACGGCCTGCAGGCATGACTCGAGCATCACACACAAGGCCTGCAAGCATGACTCCAGCATCACACACACGGCCTGCTGGCATGACTCTAGCATCACACACACGGCCTGCAGGCATGGCTCGAGCATCGCACACACAGCCTGCTGGCATGCCTCGAGCATCACACACATGGCCTGCAGGCGTGACTCGAGCATCACACACACTGCCTGCAGGCATGACTCGAGCATCACACACACGGCCTGCTGGCATCACACACACGGCCTGCAGGCATGACTCGAGCATCACACACACTGCCTGCAGGCATGACTCCAGCATCACACACAGGGCCTGCTGGCATCACACACATGGCCTGCAGGAATGACTCGAGCATCACACACATGGCCTGCTGGCATGACTAGAGGATCACACACACGGCCTGCAGGCATGACTCGAACATCACACACACGGCCTGCAGGCAGGACTCGAGCATCACACACACGGCCTGCAGGAATGACTCGAGCATCACACACACGGCCTGCTGGCATGACCTCAGCATCACACACGGCCTGCTGGCATCACACACGGCCTGCTGGCATCACACACACGGCCTGCAGGCATGACTCGAACATCACACACACGGCCTGCTGGCATCACACACACGGCCTGCAGGCATGACTCGAACATCACACACACGGCCTGCAGGCATGACTCGAGCATCACACACACGGCCTGCAGGCATGACTCGAGCATCAGACACACTGCCTGCAGGCATGACTCGAGCATCACACACACAGCCTGCAGGCAGGACTCGAGCATCACACACACAGCCTGCTGGCATGACTCGAGCATCACACACACAGCCTGCAGGCATGACTCGAGCATCACACACTGCCTGCAGGCATGACTCGAGCATCACACACACAGCCTGCTGGCATGACTCGAGCATCACACGCACGGCCTGCTGGCATCACACTCACGGCCTGCAGGCATGACTCGAGCATCACACACACAGCCTGCTGGCATGACTCGAGCATCACACACACGGCCTGCTGGCATGACTCGGGCACTGGTTATGTATTTGAGATGTTCCATGATAATTGTTGCAGACCAAGCCAGGCAAAGAGAATGAGACCATCATCACCTGATGTGGAGGAAAGTGACAAGGAAGATGAGAGTGATGATGTGCATTCATCAGATGATGACCCAGGAGACAGGAAACTTGGTGTGGATGAGAGACTTGAAGTGGAGGAGGAAATGGCACTTCGCTTGTTGCGTGGCTGTGTGTAATGGCTTGAATGTCATCCGTCTTTGAGACTCAAGACTTGAAGGCTTGTGATTCAGGCAACAGTGTACAGATGTGAATATTGTGTACATAAAATTATCATCAGAAAATGTCTTTTGAAATTGTTGTTTGAGATCCATTACACATCTTTAGAACTGCTAAATATGTCAATAAGATCAATATGATTTTCAATAAATAGAGGTTATGTGAGTGTGCTTTGGGATAGTAAATATCCTGTGTTAAGAATAAACATTGTATGCAGTGAGCCTCTAGGACAATGATGACTTATACACTGATTGTGTCAGCTCACTACACAATCTACACTTGAAGACCTACTATAGAACAATGACTTATACACTGATTGTATGTGTCTGCTCACTACACAATCTACACCTGAAGACCGACTCAAGAACAATAACTTGTTCACTGATAGTGTCAGTTCACTACACAATCTACTCCTGAAGACCAACTCAAGAACAATGACTTATACACTGATTGTGTCAGCTCACTACACAATCTACTCCTGAAGACCTACTATAGAACAATGACTTGTACACTGATTGTGTCAGTTCACTACACAATCTACTCCTGAAGACCTACTATAGAACAATGACTTGTACACTGATTGTGTCAGCTCACTACACAATCTACTCCTGAAGACCAACTCAAGAACAATGACTTGTACACTGATAGTGTCAGTTCACTACACAATCTACTCCTGAAGACCTACTGTAGAACAATGACTTTTACACTGATTGTGTCAGCTCACTACACAATCTACTCCTGAAGACCAACTCAAGAACAATGACTTGTACACTGATAGTGTCTACTCACTACACAATCTACTCCTGAAGACCTACTATAGAACAATGACTTGTACACTGATTGTGTCAGTTCACTACACAATCTACTCCTGAAGACCTACTATAGAACAATGACTTGTACACTGATTGTGTCAGCTCACTACACAATCTACTCCTGAAGACCAACTCAAGAACAATGACTTGTACACTGATAGTGTCAGTTCACTACACAATCTACTCCTGAAGACCTACTGTAGAACAATGACTTTTACACTGATTGTGTCAGCTCACTACACAATCTACTCCTGAAGACCAACTCAAGAACAATGACTTGTACACTGATAGTGTCTACTCACTACACAATCTACTCCTGAAGACCTACTATAGAACAATGACTTGTACACTGATAGTGTCTGCTCACTACACAATCTACTCCTGAAGACCTACTATAGAACAATGACTTGTACACTGATTGTGTCAGCTCACTACACAATCTACTCCTGAAGACCTACTATAGAACAATGACTTGTACACTGATTGTGTCAGCTCACTACACAATCTAGCCTCTGATAAGCAATATGCAAACGGGATATTAAATAGCTTAATATACATGGTATAAATTTCTGGGCGCGTCTCAATCCAACCCCCTAATTCAAAGCCTAATAAACAAAAATATAAGCCCAAAAAACCAAGCCCTAGCTCGAAAACACCCTCTATTTACTCCAATATCCCAAAGAATAACCAATTATTTTAATGAACACCAAATAAACAATCTTAAACAAAACTGTAAAAAATCAAATATCTTCACCCCAAAACTTAAAACACCCAAAATAGACATAACACTAGCTAGCACAATAAATAAACAAACCGACCCAAACATAGCCAAAACCACCACACTAGCATACATACATGAAAATTGGCCAAATTGGTGTCACATTTACACAGACGGATCCTCAGATCCGATCTCCAAACACACAGGTTTCGGAGTCCACATCACACAACCAACTAAAGCCACACAATCCTACCGACTCCCGCACAATCAATCAATATTCACGGCCGAACTAATGGGCATGGCCTCAGCCCTTCATAATCAACAATCTAAAAAACAACAAAAAATCCTAATACTTACCGACTCGCTCAGTGGACTACAAGCCCTCCAAAATAAAAACACCAAAAAAACCGCCCTGAACTAATAAATCAGATACTAAAAAGCTCAAACGATTTAACTAAGGCAGGCAAACAAATAGTATTCATTTGGATCCCCGCCCACGTAGGAATATACGGCAATGAAAACGCCGATAAAGCAGCTAATCTATCCCTTAAAATCCCAGAAATAAGCTTAAACCTACCCATCTCCAAATCAGAAATTAAAAGTGTTAACAAACAAAAAATCACCAAAAAATGGCATAACCTATATCAAAACTCAAATAGCCAAATCAAAAAGGTTCTCAAAAAAACCCTAACCAAACCAAAAATTCTACATCCGTCCAAAAAAATCGACAGAGTAATTACTAAACTCGAAACAAGACATACCAACCTAAATAACCACCTCAAAATAATAAGAAAACACGCAACAGGAACCTGCCCACATTGCAAACAACAAGAAACCCCAGAACACGCACTCATACACTGCACCCACTACGTAACACACCGAACTACACTACAAACCACCCTAAATCTAAATAAGGCTCTTACTCTAGAAGCAATCCTAAACCCACAAAATAAAATAGAAAAATTCAAAGCCTTAGGCGTATACTTAATCAAAACAGGACTAATAAATCGCATTTAAAACCCCAATAAACTACCAGAACCAGACCACATAATCAAACTAACAAACTTCCATACTCAGGTCCCTTAGTTCGTCCCCCAAACCCTCTTGGCATTTTTTCAAAATTTCAAAATTTCCAAAATTCTATGTAAGCAACCACTAAAACACCCCTACTGGATTGCCAAACAACTTTTTCCCCTTTTCGGAAACACATTAAATGGCTTGGCCGGGCCCGTGTGCGAAATACGCTGCAGTCGGAAAGCGCACGTAAAATCTCCAATATAAGTAAGTAAGTAATGGTATAGGTTATGGTCGACCTCATACACCATTCGTAAAACTGTTCCTTATTGTAGACGGAAGAGGCAGACATGATCAACTGTAGTCGCAATCCTCAGTGCAATCAGTACTCTCAACTTCAAGCCTGTGGGACTCCTCTTCCCGAGACAAGCGTGTCCACTAGCCTATATCAAAGCTTAGTTTAAGACTTTAATAAGAAGGCTAGTGGATGCCCTTGCCTCGGGAAGATGGTGGGACAGCTGGTATTAAAAAATTGGTCACCGGAAACTTACGCTTAAAAAGTAATGTTTGTACTAGTCTGCCACTGCTTGATATTAATTTGGTTCCGTTTAACCCGAGGATTTGAAACATTCCACCATTACTTTGTGGGACTGAGCTAACACATGTGTCCACAAACAAGACAGCGTACATGAATGTTCAAACTACCGTCCTGTCGCACTCACATCTTGTTTATCGAAAGTCTTTGAGAAATGTGTATTTAAATATGTATTCAACTTCCTAAGAGATAACGACCTACTAACAAACTGACAATCAGGATTTCCCCGGAGATTCCACATCAAATCAATTAACCTATTTGTATAATTTCATAGCTAAAGCTCTTGACGAAGGAAAAGAAGTTAGAGCAGTCTTCTGCGATATAAGTAAAGCCTTTGATAAGGTATGGCATAGAGGAATTATTAATAAACTGAAAACTCATGGTATCCAAGGCGAACTATTACAATGGTTTGAAAGTTATTTAGAAAATAGAGTACAACGGGTAGCAATTAACGGGTACAAATCTGACAAGAAAGCTGTACTAGCTGGAGTACCTCAGGACTCAGTCCTTGGACCACTTCTTTTTCTGATATACATTAACGATATTGTATGTGATACTGACAGTAACATTCGTCTCTTTGCAGATGACACTTCATTATATGTTATCATAGAAGATCCATCAGTTGCTGCTACCTGTCTTAACAATGATCTAGATACAATTTCACAATGGGCCCGTAAGTGGCAGGTTACATTTAACCCAAATAAGACCGAAACCATCCAATTCTCACGTAAAGCTAAAGCCGACCCTACTTATGGACGGAACAATTATAAAAGAAGTCAAAAGTCATAAACATTCAGGAGTGACACTCCAAAGCGACTGTACATGGACTGATCACATTAATGATATTGTACAAAACGTTCGCCTTATGATCAGTTGTCTGAGGAGTTTTAAATACCGATTATCACGTAAAACCTTGGATACTATGTATAAGTCCTATATCTTGCCAATATTTGACTATTGTTCGCATATTTGGGATAACTGTACGTCTGAGCAATCGCGTATATTAGAAAGCTTACATCTTGATGCCCTGGGAACTATATGTGGTGCCGTTCGTGGCACAAGTCATAAGAAACTTTATAATGAAACTAAATCTCAATCCTTGCAAGATAGAAGATACTGCCAAAAATTAACTTTTTTTCTTTAAAATGTATAATAACCAGTTCCCAAGCTATCTTTGTGATTTGGTCCCAAACTTTGTCTCCGAAACTACAAACTATGATTTAAGAAACAGTTCTGAAATACAAGGAATTTATAGCCGTACTTCTTCTTACGCCCTAGCCGCGAATAGCTGGAATATTGCTGATGCGGCTTAAAGTAGCATTTACTCACTCACTCTTCTTACGCCAAATCCTTTTTACCAGACCCAATACATTTATGGAATGTTCTACCAAATTCCAAAGAGTCAAGTAGTCTGTCAGAATTTAAAAACCTTATTACGAAAACCGAAAATAAGACTTATTTTAACCTTAGCTATGGCACTCGATTCTGTCAAATCGTTCACTGCCCCCTCAGACTCGGTTGTAGCGACCTAAACGCCGATAAGTATTATAACAGACATTTAATTGACAGTCCGTGTTGCTCCTGTGGATATCAGAGTGAAAACGCCCTACATTATTTTTTTACTTGCTGTAACTTTTACTCAGATAAGACTTAATATGCACTTTTACACTACCCGTTATAACCTGGATACTATTATGAACGGAAACAATGAACTTGCTCACTCTGAAAACCAGAAATTAGTTGAATCCGTCCACGATTTCATCATCAAGACAAAACGTTTCAGCTCTTCACAAATTAATAATTAAATTAACCGGACAATAACCTCATGATTGACTATTACTTTTGTTACAAACAACTTGTTGGACACACACAAGCTGTAACTTTCTATTTATGTTCACTTTGTATTTGTATTTGATGTAATATGTA